TTAGGGCTATTGCGCTGGAGAGTTTAGTTTTTATGTTAATAATATGCGTTATTGCGTTTCTCATGCGTTCGTAGATTCGGAGAGATTGACGAAAACACTTGATGAAGAATGAAAACACAATTAATTAGCCAGTATTAACTCAGGACAGCTCCCAAAACATGTTTACAGTCGTCAAAAAACTAAACGCTAAAAAAATTAGCAACATAGCCTTCAGGCTATAACGGGGAAGACAGCTTCACTTCAAAACACTAGAGTACAGCTCCCGACTCGGTTCGGTCGTTCTCGGAACTCAACGTATTCTCGAGACTCTCCAGGCTACAACTCAGGATGAATTCGACGATACACTCGATAGCCTCAACGATGCACATTCTCGATCCATGTGTGCAACTTGCGATACACTAACATCTTGCCTATCCTACGTATGTACATATCATGTGGTCTATCATTCTACATACACGGAGTGCCTTGCGATCATACATATATACGAAGTGCCTTGCGATACACTCCGCTTATATGCAGAGTTTATATAGCTTTTGGCCTGCCTTCGAGAACATTCTCGGCCAAACCGGTAAGAACTCGTTCCAGAATGTTCTCCATCCGTTTATGGCATATCGCGAATTTTGTAGCCAAATGGAGGATTTTTTGCCAAATATCTTTCCTTTGCCATTTTCTGGCAACCCTAAACCCGCTTTGCGGGGTACCGCGGCTGGGGATTTCGTAACAGTATTGTAATATTTATCATATGTAACTTTTTGTAGCTCTTGTATCATGTTTCATGAAAAGCCTCAGAAAGCAAAGCATCGCCGGAAATATAGGAGCCCAGAGCTATATCCATTTTACATTGAGGTAATTTATCGAATAATTTTTGTTGCCAGATTTGGCTACAAATAGCTAGGATTAGCCAGGCTTAGGGACCATTCAGCGACAATTTGATTCTATCCGTGTGTAACTGTCACTGGTCCAATCCCTGTGTAACTGTAACTGTATTCGGTCCTATGCAATTAATTGTGTATGCCTTCCAGAAATTTTTCCAAAGCAAATTCAAACGGACTTGCCAAGGCCCTTTGAAAAACTTTGTCGGTTTTAGAATTAAGCCCTTTTTTTCATGATTTCTTAATAAAGACGCCATAATGCATGCTAGTGGAAGACTTCAGAAATCTGAATTTATTCACCTGCCAAATGATCCGATTTCACGAATTTGTTCATGTGGAATGAGTACATCAAAATGTTTCAAGGTGGCATTTCCTAAATTTTAATAGATGTACGTGAGAGATATACCGATAGTTAAAGGAAGTCGAACTGTTTAAAACATTCTAAGAAATTGTATATTGTGCAAACGATTCAATTCTTTTTCTCTGTTTAATTTCCTACTCCTTTACCAGACACTCGAATAAAAGTATCACTTTCGTTCCTGTAGTAGGCGTAGGTTTCAGGTGAAAAATTTATATAAAAGACGGTGCCGAGTAAGTTTAATTTGCTTGTGGAATAACGCGACGTCTTTGTTTAGAGTTTGTTGGCAGCGTGACCGCAGAAACATTTTTTCTTGCGTTTCAATGATTTATTGCTCTTCGAGTCTGCGTTCTCATGTCTTGATGGACAGTGCTAAACTTAACACAAGCGGTTAGAGCGTGAACTCATAAATTTGTGAACTGTTATTAGTTATCCAACAGTAAAAAAACCTTTACTTCTACAAAATTATGTGATGTATACCGCTTAGAAAGCTGCATAATAGATTGGCATCTATAAAATCTAATAAGACCTGTTAAACGTGCTTCACGAAAAACTTTAGGAAAAAGTATTTTATCTCGAGTTGAGTTAGAAACTCTAAATATTGAAATTAAGGGTGAGCTTAGGTCTTTTCCTTAAATGTCCTTTCCCTTATTACAGTAACCTACGCCTTTATCTTCGAATCATTTGCTGTTAAGGAGCAGAGTGAATAATTTACCTACTTGTCAGACTTAATTTTGATTTTAATTTAGTTAATAGGAAAATGCTTCAAAGAACATGATTTGATTTTCATAACTCTTCTTTGTGCCAAGCTTACAAATAAAAATACTGAATTTAAAGTTAATGCTATTTTTTTAATTAATGATGGAAAACTATCTGTGCATTTTCGGAAATTAAGGTTAGTTATAGTGGGGGAGCAGAGACGGGGGGAAACAACTCTCAACGAAACTCTGCAAAAATTAGCAATCTAATTGAATTTACGGAATTTACGAAATTTTTTATAGTGTATATTTGTAAAATTGTATATTACACAGTATAAGCAGCTTAAACATAAACAAAACCGAATTTGCTTCAGTACAGCAAATATTTTCAAATAATACCTATTCATTTGAAGAAAATCTGAGCACTATTTGCAAAATAAAGCAATTGGTTTGCAACTGTTTGTTTTCCATTGTGTTCTAGTCTCTGTGTGTCGAATAAACTGGTAGCTCTGTCCTCACACTCCATCTAAAAATAAAATAACTTCTTTTTTTTTTTGTAAAATAGATATTAATCCTTTCTTTTCAACTGGAAACTTTTGAAAACCCTTTCTTTTAGTTTTACAGGTGTCTCATTTTTATGATATAATAAGCTAGCATATCTCCATAAAGTCTTGCTTTGACGAATAATCCGTAGCTTCTTTTAGATGAGAATTTAGGGCTAATTTCATGAAAAGGCTGCATGGGAAACCAGCTTTATAAAGAACTCATTTGCATTTTCATTTTTAAGCGCCATGTGGCATTTTTAATAAGTTCTTTCTTAAGACTTATAAAAGATAAAATTTCCGTAAGCTTTGTAATACTTTTTCCAAGATCCAATTTATGTGCGTAGTTAGTTTTGACGTCGATTCTAGATTGAAGAAATAGTGGCGTATTTTTATTTATCAGAACTAATTACATTGAGTAACATAACATTTTCACATGTATTCCAAAATTCCCTTTCTATACTTGAAATGAATTTTCTAAGATATGAGTAAAACTTTAAAATTCGAAACTAATATCGTTTACAATTTTTAAAAGGATTCAGAATGACGATGTGTTTGCTGCATAGTTTTCAACAAAATTAACAAACAAATTCTACCGTCAAAGGAAACAGATCATGAACTCATAATTTTAGTTAAATTTTTTAATTTGATTTTGCATTCGAAAACTAATAATATTGTTTCCAGTGTAATACAATGAATATTTTCCCGAATAATCTTTAAATAATGCTAATTTCATTTATATGGTAAAGTGTGAAAAAAATTATGATTAATGTAAATCAGTCTGTTAGAAAGTTATAGAATTAAATTATAATGTGATACAGACAGAAAGCTATTCTAAACTGTCTTATTGTATTTAATCAATGCTAATATATTTAAGAAGCAAGATTAGTCAGTGAGTGCTATATTCTGCCAAATTTCAGTTCATTGAAAATAATTGTAAAATTGTTTTAAAATGCATTAAAGAATACTGAAATTTAAAAATTGTTTTAAAATGAATTAAACTTTGTTACGACTTTAATAATTAGCAAAATTCAACTCATAATGGAATCGAGTTTAACGTAAAAAGGAGAATGAGTTTAAAAAACCACTCATAATACTAAACGACGTTCTCTTCCATCTCTTCTACGGATTAAATATATTATATAAGACAATTAAAGCGAGAGTTATCTAACACATGTTTTCGTGACTATTTTAGGCCCTTTGTTAAAAAAACTAATTTAATTCCGTTGCATATTATTATACAGTTAAACATTAAATGTCTGCAAATATTTTTCAAGAATTATAGCATCTTTGACGTGCAATTCGCTGATCATACTAAACATAGAAGCCAGTATGCATGGTAATAGTAAAAAATTTGGATGCTGCATGCGTCATGTGCATTACGAATTTTTTTCAGAACTATGATCTACTCTTTTCCTGCTGGGAAAGAGTGTTATCCGTATACGTAACATGATGTTTACAGCATACCTTATTTTTCTGATAATCGCATACCTTGTTTTCGCATTTAAGCACACCTTGGTATTCTGATTTGAAATTGAGACGACTGAAATATACATTTGTGAGGCAAATAAAATTTACACTACTTTACAAAACAAAGTAAATTTTTATAAAAGAGATATATAACACTATTTATACATTAAGCCAATTTGCAGCAGAGACCTAAGTTGCAGTAAATTTACAGTGAAAATACACTGTGCACGTTTCATGGCATCAGTATTTACAGTATCTCAACAGAAAATGCCGAAGACCCGGAGCTAGATAACATCATTGAGTGAAAGTCGGCTAATTCTCCATGCAAGCAGAGATTCATTAAAGATTACAACAAAAACAAGATTGTGGTACAGATACTTTTCAATGAACCTTAAATGTTTAATTTAGGTTGTTTGTGTGTTGAAGGGTAGTACTCACACACTTATGTTGCTTTTCATTTCTACATTTCTCACCGGTGTTGAATGTTTTCGTATCCGACACTTTTTCCACACAAATCTCTTATCCAACACGGACACATTTGACCTGACATAATGCGAATTCTGCTTGCTTCGTAAGCTTCTATATGGATCTGAGATCAGATCTTTATCCAGAGTGGAGGCATTGAAATCCACATCCTGAATGAACTTAAATATAGTATTTTAAAGCCTGGTTTCCAGAAATGCTTCGAAGACGTCTGGAAGTACTGAAAGAAACAAAAATGCAAAAATTTGAAGATGGAGATGTTCATATTTACGACTGCAGTTGTAACTGTTTATGTTTTTGTGAGCCCTATGAGAGTACTGTGATTGGTATGGAAAGAAAAATCTTTCTCTTTATAAAGGAAAGAGATTATTAGAATGTACAGAATGCCTGTTCCGTTATGGGATAGACCCTAAAGACTACACCTTACACCCGGACCTTGAGAGCAGAGGCATTAATCAGACTTTATTTTTAGATATTATTACTTGTGTTCTTTGGCAAATAATAAAATGTCGAATAATGAAACGAGTAGATAGTTACAGCTTTCTGTCACCTTTTTAACAGATAAGATACACATAAATGCAAAATCACCAAAAGACTTTTATTTTTCTGTTGAATGTACTACGAAGCAACTAATACAGAAGCGAATATTCCACAACAGATGTGCGGTAACTGATATATTACCGGCATTTTTACGTTTTTACTTAGCTCAGTTGCAACAGTTAGCGTTTATATTTAAAAATGTTTGCTATAAATCGTGTTGTTCAAATTTAAAGAGCATAATTTAAATATGATATTACTCATTTCTTCACAAAATTCAAATGATACAATTTACAAATATTTAGCCTTTTTCTAAGCACAATGTAGTTATTTTAACATTTCAATGTCCATTATCTCACCATGCACAAGTATACAAACGGTGGACTGCAATGACGGTGAACTTTGCGGTGGACTGCAATGATGTTTATAGAATAAGAAACATATAACATAATAGAGGCATAAAACTATTTTAAAATAGTATTCTGAACTTCACATTCAGCAAACTGGCATTCCATGTATTCTGTTCTTCAAAAGCTTCCTAGATTTCCATACAGTATTAGCTGCATTTAATCCTCAGTTTCTATGTATTAGTAAGAAAATAAATTTATTTGAATTAATTTTTGTCTGCGCTCAAAATTAAACTTTACTTAATTAGGTTAAAGCTGAATACAGTAATTGCTTTTTAAACCATAGCAGACTAAGTTGGAAAGCTCTTTACTTCTTTGCTATTCATTCGTACTTTTTACCCCTGTTATGCTTTCTTACATCTTGCAATAATTAACATCATGTTCCGCTCCGATTATCTTTCCGGTGTAAGGGAAAGTATTATAAAACTGAAAGGCTTTATTCAAAAGACAGCAAATCCCCGTTCATTTTATCAGCGCAGTTCTGTATGCGAAGGTTTCTTCGTGAAGTGAACAAGACTGCAGAGTGTTCAGCCAAGCGATGGAATCATTTGCCAACTCACTGTAAGATAGTTCTCGGAAGACGAGTGAAATTTACGGTGCGGGAATCTTCGTCCATGTTGAAAGCTCTTTTCAGCTGTGTGTATATGTCTAGAGAAAAGAGATAATATATCAAGCTTTAAAGATAATAGCAACAGTATTATAGCATTATGTAAAATTTTTGTTATTTTTTCATTTTTACAAACATTTCTAAAGAAGAAAAACTATTTGAAAATATAGCAAAATTTCAAGAAAATTAATGATATTAAAATGCTATTAAAATACACCTGAATTCATGTTTTAAAAAGCTCTGAAGAAAAATAATTCAATTTAATAATCTGAAATTTAATATCTTTAACAACATATGCGCTTTTCTTATAAACCGTTGATTAAGAGTAGATGTTCCAAGGATAGATGCACGAAAGAGAAAAGTATAGGTAACGTAAGTTAAAAGGATCCAACTACAATTATAAACAGTTTTCCTGTTGGTATGGTGATAGTGTAACCGCCCGTCGCAGACGTCAGTCACGATTCGAAGAGCAGCATATAAATATTAATAGTTTAAAGCAAACATAGTTTTCAAGTTCTTTAGTGCCTCTTTCAAGTACTGCGTCAGTTACGGTTTAAAAACTTTATTAAAAAGGTCAGAAACACAATAGTTAATTTAGTTGCAATTTAGCATTCATACATCTAGATATGAGATAAGATGGGTTTTCTTCATAAGAAATGTAATGCCACTCTCCGTTTCAGTAAGATCTTGTATTTCTGAAATCCGGTTCCCAGCAAACTTCTTGAGGAGATGAGGCTCTTTTTTGTAATCCATGACAGCACAATCATAGAATCCCTCCAAATGTTAATAGCGGTAAGCTACAATTTCAACGATTAATCTCACTCGATGCCTTGATCTAACTGAGAGAATTGTTGTGCAGAGTTCAAATCTTGGGACTACAGTCTTCTTCGGGGGGGGGACACTAGATTTACTGCACACCAATCTCACTGACATACGGTTTGATGCTGATGTGGTTTTTAGCAAATAACTGCTCTGTTGGCTGCATCTGAGACATCAAAGAAGCCATGTAACTATATCGTGATCATATCTGGCAATAAAATACATTTGTCGGCTTCATTGTTGTAAATAAACTGCAAGGTAGTGGAAAATTCTTTCCATTATTTAGACTCCTCTTCGAGCAGAACATCATTCGAGTCCAATTTTAATAACCATAATTTCAGCAGGATTATTTGTAGCATAATTATAGCTCTCACTAAAAAACATAAGTTTTTATTTTATGTTTTATAACAATTTTAAGCGAATTACCAAAGAATGCAGGTAATTTACAAGTGGGAGAATTTAGAGTAGTTGAAGGAAACGAGATTAATGCAAGGTGCGTATTTTATTAGTGAGATAAATCAAACTAAATAAATTTGATTTAATAATAATGAAACATACTTAGGAATATTATTGATCAGGTATGGTTCCTAAGGATAGTTCTATTAAGAATCTTAAAAAGGGGTTAAGATTCTTAATAGAACTATCCTTAGGAACCATACCTGATCAATAATATTCCTAAGTATGTTTCATTATTATTAAATCAAATTTATTTAGTTTGATTTATCTCACTAATAAAAGAATCTTGATTAAGAATTGTAACCCCATTTTTAACAATAATGTGTTACTTAGAGTAGAAGGCCAATTAAGAAATAGCAATTTGACTTACTAGAAGCAATTTCTTATTATTCTGCTTTCTAAACATAAATTAACATTGCTAGTAGTTAATTACTATCATTTCAAATATCTGCATGTAGTTCTAAATTCCTAATACCTAAATTCTCATATCATGTAAGACAATTTTGAATTGTAAATTATAAAAATGTTTATAGGATGGTTGTAGAACGTGCATAACATGTTTCAAGGCTAATCCCACAACAGCTCAGAAAATCCTGGGTGAGCCCCAAGGAAAGGTTTAAAGCTAATATTACATTTAATTGTACCAGAGATAACCTCTGCGGTCCATTCTTAATTAAAGGCAAAACCCAGAGAAAAGGAATGCATCAGAAGGTGTCTATATGTAAATTCATTTGCATGGGCACTAAGGCTATTCATTTGGAAAAGATAACAGGTCTAACGTCTTTAGCATTAAATGGTACCTTGAAACGCTTCTTTGCCAGAAGAGGTAAGTGCTCGAAACTGTTTAGTGATAATTCTATTAATTTTGTTGGTGCAAATACAGAATAAAAAAGTTAAGCAAATTAGTAAATGAGGAAGATGAACTTTTGGCTGGCTACTTGAGTTCTGACAATATCGAATGTAAATTTCTCTCTCCTATACTACCCAATTTTGAAGGCTTTGGGGAGGCTGGAGTTAAGTCCTTTAAGTACTATTTGAAATGTGTCTTAGGTAATGTAAAACTGACATTTGAAATTTTTTTAACAATTATGACTTATGAAATTTTTTTAACAAGTATGGAAGAAAACGTTTGTAGAACATTGACAGTTTCAACGAGAAAAGAAATAAATGAAAGAAATAAATGAAAATGAAATAAATGAAAAGAAATAAAAAAAGTAATTTAGAAACACTAGAACAAAATATGATTCTGTAAATTAAATTTATCAGGTGGCTGGAAAATCACATAAATTCTTACAAGCTTGTGAACATATTTTATAAAAGTAAGAATTGGTATTAATAATGAAATCAAAATGTTTCTAGCCCATACTTTTAATTCTATTAAATTTGATACTTATAATAAAACAAAACCAGATTTTCTTATTATAGAGAAATGTAATAATTAATACACAGAAATAAAAAGAATACAGTATAATAGTAAACTTAAAATGGACAGATTAAAAATGGGCTGATTGAAATGGGCAGGTCCTCAAAAAGCTTATCAGCGTTAACTACTTTCTGATGGCTGGGGGATGCTTAAATACAGTTCAAAAATTGTATTTACTTTTTATGGCCAGAAAATTCTTTATTTAGTACATACGTGTACTAAATAATTTTATAAAAAATAAGTGTGCCAAAATTAAAATTCGAGTTAAGATGAATAACTTGTAGTATGAATTTATGCCTTAGAAATTTAGTAAACTTAATTTTAGATTACGCTGCAATAGTAATTTTAATAATAAAAAAAATCAAATATGTGTAGTGTGTTGTATGTGTGTGTAGTATCACTTTGTGCTGAAACTATGATCAGAGAAAACTGACTGATGAAAACTCGGTCACTTCGTGATCCCACCTGAACTCCCAATTAAAGTTTTATAACTAATTCTCATTGCATTTAATATCATTTGAAATTGTTTCGTTGGCATTATGCTTTTTATTATTATTAAGATATTTCAAATTAGAATAGCAAGATCTCACAGCTTTTTCTAAATACTAACATATACAACTTATGTATATGGTAGCATTTATGGGCAAATTCGTTTGAACTGACTAGTGTGTTTGTTCTGCACCAGTAGCTAAGGGAGGATAGTATTTTAAAAGGTCTCCATTCCTTGTTTGAAGGTAATTGACCTCTTTATACTGCACTTAAGAGTTCCACTTATATAAAAATATTAATTTCACTCCATTAAAAAAATGAAAATCTGAAAGCTTTTAGAATTTATAGTCTCGAGGGCTAAAGATGAAACTTTTTTTTTTTTTTTTTTTTCAAGCAGAGTGTTGCCATGGCTCGCTTTTAAGTCATTGAGTCTGTTAATCAAAAATTGGTTAAAGTTTTTCAAAATATCAAATAGATAATAAAACACATTCTAAATTCCGAATTTGGGCTTCCAGATGCCCATATTCGGGTGGAAACGCACGTTATTCAAAATTTGAGGGCACTAGGTACCGTTGTTTTATAACAATGCGAGAAAGATGCATACATTTATGCAGATTCTTCGTTATTTTATTTCTTTAAATATAATACAGGGCGTTAATAGTTGGCGGCAACAATTTAAAAACGTGAACCGACATTTATAGAGACCAACGCAAAATGCCAAAACGAAATTAACAGTCCTTCTGGGCAAATTTCCCCTTTGGACTAATAATAATTACATATGAGAAAATAATGAGGGTATGTTCAAAGGGTATATTCATTTCATTCATAAAATATTCAGAAAAGTTTTAGAACTCATATTTTTAAACAATAATCTTACTGTCAAAATGCTAATGAAAAGGTACATAACAATCATGAAAAAATATATTACTCGTGTTAATAACTTTTCCTAAATAAAATCTTAAAATTCTTTAATTTCTCAAACCAAATTAACAAAATTCGTATTTCTAATAGTATATAATTGTGTATATTTCATTTTCATAAAGCAATGCTATACTTCTAAGCAGTATAATAAGAAACAGCATTATGCATTCAGATTTTCAGTATGATATTTAGGTATAATGATTAGCACTTTCAATATGATATTTCTAATTGCACTAATTAAAACCTTACATTTTTAATCCATAGTGCAAATCTCAGGATAATAACGTATATAATGGAAATGCTCCTACCAAAAGTGCAAATTCAGCTAAAATTAGGAATTTCAACTTAAAGTCAACGTCAATTCCAATTAGCTGAGTAATTTAAGTACCAATTTGAAAAAGTACTAAAATTTCAAACAACTGAATTGCAAAGAATTAAAAAAATTAAAAAAAAAGAAACACGAAGTTCAAGAAGGGACGTAAAAAGAAAAACTGCCAGTAAAGCATTAGATAACAGCAGAGGTAAAGAAAATTCAATGGAAATGCAAATTAAACGAAATTTTAGAAAAATTACAGAAAAATGAACATTTGAAAAGTTACAGAGACAATGCCGTCTCATCAGGAGGAATTAGCCTATCTCTCTCTCTTCCCAATTGCTCAGATCGAGTTTTGTCCTTGTCATGCATATACAATCTAAAAACTTGTATGGAATTTTTATTCATTTTAATTATCACTGTATCAAAATTAGCAAACCCATATTTACTCTCAAGAATTCCCTTACACGATGTAGAACCATTTAATACAGTAATTTAAAAATGTAAAAAGAACCAAAAAATTACACAAGTATCTAATAAATTAAAGATATTGCAACATTTGAAAAATTAAAAAGCACCAGAAAAATACTCAAGGATCTAATAAATTCAAGATATCAAAACATGTAAGTTTTTACATAGCTGATTTGGAATCTGAACTCAAAATTTTGAGAAATAAAATCTTTCTTTAAAAAGCAACGTGAAGCAAAACTTTCTACTGGTGAGCCTTCATATTGGATAACTACGCTCTAACCTTCTACCTCTCTTGCCGTTAAGATGCTATTTCGCTCTGCTCTGTTCCTATCACAGCAGTACCAAAAGTATAAGTGCTCTAGAATAGGCACGATTAGAGTGCTAAGAAAGTTCTAAATAATAAAATGTCAGTTGAAATTAAGTTGAATATTTAATCTTACTCGGCTGCCATGTTTCCTCTTCAGTATGGATCTGCGTTCTACGCTATCAGCACTGATACGACATTTTTATCATATGTGTATATGTATATATATATATATAGACGATAAAATGCCGTAGCAATGTTGATAACGTAGAATATTCCTATATGTAGAGAGAATAAATAAAAAGCAATTCAAAGTTTAATCAGATTTGCGAGACGTAAGCAGCAACAATTTATTTAGTTCTTTCGTTAGACCAACCCCCTGTTGACGATGCGACAAAAGATGTAAATTTTTTAAAACATCTAGCTAAGAGCAAGAATAATTTACTTATCGTTTCTCAGAATTTGAGACATTTTTAAAATAATTGGAATACTATTCTATCCCAAGCTATGTTTTCTTCACTTTTTTTTAGTCATTTTCTCGGAAGCTTTTCAGAGCATAGCATTCTTCATAACTGAATTTTTATAATTAATCTACTTTTATTATAAAATCTATTTAAAAATCACGTAGTGTTAAGTTCTTTCAGTTGTTAAATAACATATCTTATTTTCACTTGACTCTGAGATTATTTCCTGGAGAAAGCAAATTAAACACAAAAAAAACTAAAAAAATATAAATATGGTTTACACCACTGATTTAATAAAAAAGTTCTACTCGCTTAAATAAAGTATTAAAATGCAACCTGATGGGAATAGTTGCGCTCTAAAATATTTTGTGGGTAAAAAGGAACAAATAAATTTCTTGATTTTTGTAAATCAGAAGTAAAATTACTAAGGTATTTTATTTTGGTTTAAAATTTAGTATTTTTGCGCCATTTTTTTTGTTTTACAGCAATTATATTTATATGTTAATTACAATCTGAGCTTCTTAGCCGTAATGTATCTCTGTAACTTTTTTTGCATCTTTTAAATAACGGAACAAACGTTTATCTTATAAAATATATTTAGTAGTAACCGTGCATGATTAAATTCGGGTTAGGATCTTGATTATAGAAATGCGTTTTGTTTAATCTAATATTAATTAGCTCTTAAAATGCATTTAGATAGATATAATTATGATTATTTGCATACAAAATCAATTTCGTTTTTTATTCGAGTTATTAAAAAGCAATTCAGATAGGAGGAGTGAAAAGTTTAAATAATTACTCGAAGAAGTGAAGTATGTAAAGCTTAAGCTTTCCGATCGAGAAAAGTTCCTTTTAATTAAACTTTCATGCTATAATAAAGCATCAGTATAGCATTTAAATAAAGATTTAAATAATTTACTACTATTTTTATCTTTTTCATTCCCTCATATATGAAAACAATAATTTTTCTAAGAATACAAATAATATGCTCTGTGTAATCGTCTTCTTGTTGAAATCGGTTTTAAGAAAAATAAAACTATACATATGTTGGTTAAGAAGAGAAAATAAAAACTCAATTAAAAACTTCATTGCTAAAGCATTTTTCTACTTTCATATACTCCTGCTGAGTTATCACCTCACATTACAAAGAGGTCTTAACATTTTTGTAAATCTTTAAATTGAATTTATTTTACTTGTTCGCGCCTGCGCATCTGTAATGTGATGATCAAACGAGTTTGAGAATCGCCATCGACGGTGTAAGAGGGCTGGTCACAGCTATGAGTTAATGAGGGATTGTAATTAATTATGAGAATTAATAAAGAATCGAACCAGCGAATTTATTTAGTGTGTGTTATTTGGGACGAGACCCCAACATATCTGGTCGTAGTCGACCGGAGCGTGAGTATTGTGCATGAATAAGTAGTGTTTCGTTTTTGAGAACACAGGAGTGTTTGTGTTTGCCAATATTCCCAGCTTGTTCTTTTCAACGAATATCGCTGATTTTGGATACGGATATTCATCAAAAGTGAATCACTGCAGAGGTAAGTGATTCCTCTCTTGTTAATTCTCTACATTCTGTGCTTGTTCTGTTATAAATAACAATGTTATTTAAGGGTGCTAAAAAAGAAGATTTAAGGCTTATTGCCTTAGAAATAAATCTAAATGTTGCCGAAAAAATGACTATAGCAGATTTGACTGATATTATTGAGAATAGTGAAACTTTCAAAACAAGATTTAGTAAAAGAGATAGCAAACTCTATTATCGAAAATAGAAAACAGGAAGAGCAAAAAGAGCAAAAAAAACTTGTCGAGTTAGAAAAATAAAACTTTGAGAGATCAAAGAATGAGTTAGAGTTTGGCTAAGCTTAAAGCAGAAACTAAACTTGATGGTGTAAGCGAAACCGAAACAAAATCAGAGTCACTAGATCAATTAATAAAAGTATCAGAACCTTAACTGCAAAAAATTCCTATACGGCCTGAGAGTTGGGGATTTTTCTTTTCGTCATTAGAACGAGCGTTTATTACAAAAAATGTTTTGGAGGACTATAAAGCAGAAATTCTGTTAGGAGACAAAGCTTCGAATATAATAACCTATTTAGATGATAAGGATATCGCGAATTATGAAAGAGTTTCAGCCAACACCATATTTGTGTTTAGGAAACTTTAGAAAAACTGTTAAACAACCACATGAATTTCATGTGCAGTTTCCTTCACGCTTAGTAACTACCTGGGATTATATTTAAAATTAAGGAAGGCAACTGACTTCGAGACCCTCAAACAACTCATAGTTTCAGATAGGTTGTACCAATCTTTAGATACGGGAATAGCTTATCACATTGCAGTGAGGCAAGGTGATTCATGGTTTTCACCTAGTGAGTTAGGTAAAGAAACAGATTATATTTCACGTCACGAGAAAAACCTCTCTACTGAGAATTCTCATGTTAATCGTAAGTATAATAGCTCAAAAAGGTGTAGCTAAAGTGTTTTTATCAGATGTTAAAACAGAGAACTGTATTTTATGCCACGAGAATCAAGGGATTGGCAAAATGCCCATCGTATTTAAAATTACCGGTACAAGAAAGAGTACAGGTTGTGAAATCTAATAAATTATGTTTTAAACTGTCTACATATGCATTCAGTATCAAATTGCCCATCGAAATATTCTTGTTTTGTCAAAAAACGGCACCACAAAACTATTCACTTTCCGAAAGTAAATAATATCGTAAAGGAGAAAGAATGTTCTTCATCAGAACAAAATAAAAACAAAACAAATGTATCTGATTGTAACATTCCCAAACGAGATGACTCATCGACCTTGAATATTAATGCGTGGGAGTTTCGTTCAAAAGGCATTTATTAGCAAGTATTCGAATAAACAAGAGTACAGTTTTGCTTTCAACCGTCGTATGTTTTTTTAATTGATAACGAGGGAAGAAAGCACAGAAGTGAAGTGTCTGCTGGATGGCGGCAGTATGTCGAACTTTTTGACACGTAATTCTTATTGAGCACATTTGCAGTTAGAGAAAGAAAAAAAACAAACATTTGCGGTTTCGGGAATAAATGATGCTACTTTGACAATAAAGCATAAAAGCAATGCTTCGATATGCAATAAAGAAGGAACTTTTATAAAGAATTTGGACTTTAATTCCAAAGTAATTCCAAAAATAACTGCTGTAATTAACACCTTCGCGCAAAATTAAAATTTCAAGTGCAAGATATCTTCCTAATTTAAAATTAGCAGATGAAGGATTTAATGTTCCAGAAAGGGTAGATATGTTGTTGGGAGCAGGGAGTTTTTTATGAACTTTTGAAACCGAGTCAAATTCGAATGAATAATCCTGATCTTATTTTTCAAGATACAGTTTTTCGGTTTTATCGTGTCTGGAAGTATTCCAACAGATACTGAAAACAGGGTTCATTGTGGGTTGATAAAGAAAAGAAAGACAACTTATAAAGATCTTAGAAAATTTTGGGAATTAGAAAATATTGAAACTGATAAACCCAAAACAAAGAATTTTTAATTTGTGAGAAACATTTCGTAGAAAATTATACACGAGATAAAACCGGTAGGTACGTTGTTAAAATGCCATTAAAGGAGGATCCGGACACTTTAGGAAGTTCTAAACAAATTGCAACGAGTAAATTAAATTCTTTATGGAAACGCTTAGTAAAGAACCCCGAATATTTAAAATTATATTCAGATTTTTTAAAAGAATATCAACAGTTAGGACATATGGTCGAGGTGAGTGAAAGCGAGGAGGAACGAGGTTCATATTACATTCCTCATATATAGGGGAGAAGAGAAAAGTAAGTCCACTCCCTTGAGGGTAGTATTTAACGCTTCTTCTTTGACAAGCAAAGGAAACTCTCTAAATTCTATACAGTATAATGGAGGTGTGATACAAGATGATTTATTTTCAATTATGCTGAGATTCAGGAAATATATTTTTGCTTTCACTGCTGATATACAAAAGATGTATCGAGCTATTTTTATCCATCCAGATCAGTGGAAGTTGCAAAGGATTTTATGGAAAAAGCCATGATAAGCCAGTTAAAAACT